CAGCAACAGCAACAACAACAGCAACCATAACAACAACAGCAACTGTAACAACAACAGCAACCATAACAACAACAGCAACTGTAACAACAGCAACAATAACAACAACAGCAACCACAACAACAACAACAACAACAACAACAACAACAACAACAACAACAACAACAACAGCAGCAGCAACAATAACAACAACAGCAACTGTAACAACAGCAACAATAACAACAACAGCAACCATAACAACAACAGCAACAACAACAACAGCAACAAAAAATGGCAACAAGAACAGCAGTAAAAACAGCAACAACAACAACAACAGCAGCAACAATAACAACAATAACAGCAACAACAACGACAACAACAACAGCAACAAAAACCAACAATAACAACAATAACAATAACAGCAACAATAAAAACAGCAACAACAATAGCAGTAAAAACAGCAACAACAACAACCAGCAAAAACAGCAGCAGCAACAACTTACAAGAACTGCAAAAACAGCAACAACAATAACAACAACGACAACAACAACAATGACAATGACAACAAAAGCAACAATGACAACAACAACATCAGCAATACTAGCGGCAGTAACAGTAGCAGCAACAACAACAACAACTACAACAGCAGCAACAACAACTACAACAGCAAATTGCAATGATAATTAAGACTATAACAAGAGCAACCGTAACAATTAAACAAACAAACAACTCACAACAACAACAACAAACAGCACAATGACTACAAAAACATCCAAAATACCAAATCTCTTACAAATTTCGCATTACTAATTTCCTTGTATACGCAGTGTACTGTTACATTATTGTCCACGGTATATATCATAATGTTTATTCTGTTTTCCACACAGGAAAAAAGCTTTGAACCACATTACGCGGTCTTACCTGACCAATCAGAAAATGAAAAAATACAGATGTATGTCAGCCAAGACGACATTGAAATTATCTCCAATAGAAAGGTATTGACACATTTTCTTAGTTTTAAGACACTGACGTTGGGCGCTTCGCCTTGACAAGTAAAATTGTTTAGTTTACATGTTTGGTGTTTGAGGCGCATATATTCAATTTAGAGGAGGGAGTTCTTCCATTTGAAAAGGGAGTTTTGCCATTTTACAAGAGAGTTTTGCTATTTGAAAAGGGAGTTCTTCTATTTGAAAAGGGAGTTTTGCTATTTGAAAAGGAAGTTCTGCTATTTGAAACGGGTGTTCTGTTATTTGAAAAGGGAGTTTTGCTATTTGAAAAGGGAGTTTTGCTATTTGAAAAGGGAGTTCTGCTATTTGAAAAGTGAGTTCTGCTATTTGAAAAGGGAGTTCTGCCATTTGAAAAGGGAGTTCTGCTATTTGAAAAGGGAGTTCTGACGCACATCTTGTTGACAAGTTGTACGATTTTTACGCGTGTATATATACGTTTTAACTTCAATATGTTAATATTTTTTAGATTGAAAATGATGTAATTAATGATTATTTTGAAGCTTTTGATGGGATCACGTATCAGCCAAGACCATTTCTGAAACAACTGTATCCTAAAGATTGAAAAACTTCGTATCCTTGAAAGCTTTTGTACAAAATTGCATGTATTTATATTACTCTTCATGCTGCGAACGCTCATTAATTAAAGCGCGTGTTAACGCGAAAGCAAACGCGAACACAAATAGTTTAAGAGGCAATTTTTTTCGCTATCGCGCTTATGTCAAAACCTAAAATGTTTTTGGCGTTCCTCACAAAATTACATTGTTCTAGCTTTATTTTGTAGTTTACACAGTCAGCAACCTTTTTAAATGTATCTGGCGGTTGAGAAACACAGAATAATAGTTAAATATTGTCAATTTGAATACAATTATCATCGATGCTGTAAAATTGACGCCATATGGCATATATGTTACAGCAATATAAACAAAACTTACTGAACTTCAGACATCATTTTTTCTTGGGCGTAAATCTAAATCATTTTAGCATAATTTTACACGTAAAGCACTAAACATACTTTTTAAGTTTGTTTGCGCTTCAAGAACGTATCAAAAATTTTAAAAAATTGAATATAGTCATCACCAAGTGAAAAATAAACATTAGTTTTGAGCGCGTGTTTATACGTAACATACAAAAGATTCTTGTCTTAAAGCAAACGCTGAAAACGAATAGAAAGACGGCAAACGTAAATTCCTATAATGAAATGAATGCTAATGAAAGCGCCGAGGCCGGTTATAAGCCGATTATCATGATTGACTAGAAATTTTACCCGATATTTTATACAGTAAGACATAAATAAACTGTAAAACGTAATATGATTTCTCATGAAACATTTGAAATTATAGTCATCTAATAATTATGCAAAAATTTTCCCCTTGTTTCATTTTAGAAATTTTACCCTACATTAAACAGTAAAACAATTAAAGTATAAAATATAACATAGTTTCTCATATAACAGTACATCAAACTGCCACAATTCTTGGGTAAGTTTGCAATTTCCTTGTCGACCTCCTTAAATTCTTCCCACACTTTTGAAAATCCTTTGTTGGTTGAGTCCTCAAAACCGCCTAAACTTGTTTGCATTTTATTAACATTCGTATTCATATCTGAAACTTGGTTTTGCACGCTTAGGAATCGAGTGTTTAGTCCACTTTCGACACTGTTGATCTTATTTTCCAGCGAAGATTTCGTTTGTGCGATTAGATCTTCAAGGCTTTCGTCAATTTGGTCGATTTTTGTTGCAAGTTTTTGTATCCTATCGTACGAGTTATTGTAGCAAGTTTCCATTTCTTCTTTAAGCGAGTTGAGATCTTTGTCACCGTCGGTTAGTCGCGTGTCTTCCCTAAAAGGCAGTTTTAATATAAGAAGGATTTTTTTGGATGGAAATTTCCGTATGTGAATTTTTATGACCAGAAACTACGGCCATGATTATTCGACTTCCTTACTAATTTGCATAAATTGCATGACCCGTTGAAACATAACTTCTGTAGTATTAACAATTAATTTTATATAATACCTTAGGGACCGATTACATGGAGTTCGTTCAGCCCCGGGGAACTCAGCCCTGTAAAAACTTTAAACTGACCCTTTGGAAATAATTCTGAACGTCAGTAATATTTTTTCAAACGTCATAATTCAAGGGGAAATCATTGTATTATAACTCAAAATTTTCGGCGAACACTCGTAGTGTAGCGATATACAGACTAAAACAGCTGGTTTTATTGTAGAATTTATTTCGTCATGTGAGCCCACTAAAATGCCCCCGCGATGTATGGAATTGAAATTTACATCTCCAAAATCCTTCACTCTTGAGCAATCTTCGTTGAAACGTACCTACTAGCAAGAACAATAGCGACAATGGATAACGTCAAAGCAGCGAGACCGACAAAATCGAAGGAATATCTGATTAGTTTTCGACAAATCCTGGGAAATTTTCCTCCGCAATCAAAAATACGCTGCCCTGCGTCGTCCGCTTCGGTCGGAGTCAATTGTCTTCGGTCTTGAGCAGCGGTCACATTATTCACCATTTCAAAATTCGACTTTTGCAACTGGTAATATATTAATTATTGGCGCAATGAATTGTGTATATGTTTTGAAATTTTTGAAAATATTTTGCTTCGAAAACGAAAGTTATCTGTCGTTTACCAGGAAAACTCTATTTACCCGGAAAATACGCATGATGTGATGGTTTTAAATTTCAATTGTGGAACCCTAAATCTTACTGTCGTTCCAATTGAAGTGTTGCTCAAATATTGATTCAATACATTACCTCGGGCTGACCAATTCATTTCATCAAGTTCCTCGAGATATTCATACACCTCCTAGTATAATTGTAAACTTCCTGTTGAATAGTTTGAATGCACCAATCACTTTTGTTGTTTGCGCAACTAACCAATCATAAATAGAAAGGAAGTGATCAGAAATGATCAAATACTTGGAATTAGCTCTTTCACAGGAAGTGTATGAATATCTCGAGGAACTTGATCAAATGAATTGGTCAGCCAGAGGTAATGTCACAGAATAGATAATAGGACCAGAAGTCTTACTCAAGCGGAAACATGTCCCATCTTTTATACTGCGCATGCGCGAGCTGAACAAGTGTAATGCAGTGTTGACAATAGAAAATTATATTGGGAAGTTGTCATTTCTACAGTAAAAACAGCTTTTTTTTCAAGTAGTACGAATTGTGACTTCGATTTATCTGTGGAATTATTTGAACAGAAGGTAAAGCAGTAATTTTGTTGTATTTAGAAAGCAAACAGTGTCATATTTTTAAAAATATAGCGCACTGAATATAAATTTGAGCATCATTAAAATGTGTTCGCTATGATGCCATTTTGTCTCCGGTATATACGGAGTTCTGCTTTTATACTTGTGGATATTCGAATTTATTTGGCTCAAAAACACCATTACTTCAATATCCCTTTCTTGTTTTTCCTTGGATAGGTTTTAACAAGATAGAACTCGAGATTACTTGGGTCCAAAGACGCTAGATTATAAAATCTTGATGTGACTTGATACTACAAATAGAATATGTCTTATATTTAATACTACAAATAGAATGTCTTTTAAGTACAAACTTCAATGAATTGATAAAGTGTAAGGATAGTGTTTAAAGTCGCTTCATGTGTAGAAGCTGAATTACTTTAGTTTATACACTGTATATTGTCAAGATCACATGTTGATATGACTTACTAGCAACTTACTACAGACTTACTACTTATTTATAATACTTTAGAGTTTGGACATTAGAACATTGCAATTGCCTGACAGAGACTGTTAGGGCCTGTTTGTATGGAAGCCGGGCTGGCCCGCTTAGCAAGACAGCCCGGTAAGGTATAGGTAAGCAGGATGATTTCTCTTGTGTTTATTTGAGAAAATTTCATTCCGCTTACCGGGACAATTTTGTTGTTTTCATTGACATTATTTTGCCAGTTGTTAAAAATAGCTTGCGGCGGTATCTTTGAACTTTCATCCCGGCAACCGGGCTAGCCTGCTTATGATTGTTTATGTGGAGAAATTTCCATCCTGGTCTTGGCAACCGGGCCTGCCTGCTTGTCCATAGAAATGATAATTTGTACTATAAAAATAACTAGACAGTGAGATCTCACTTACCGGGCTGTCTCACTTAGTGGGCCAGCCAGTTTCGATATAAACAGGCCCTTAGACAACTGCTAAAAGCTGCAAGTTTTAAAGCAATATCATCTATATCACAGAATACTAGTGACATACTTTGTGTTTTTTCTGTTATTTTTGTACAATACCTTTTTGAAATTGTTGATACTGGTCTCATTGTAACTCAGTTATTCCTTCTCAAGAAAAATAAAAAAAAACAAAGCTGTGTGGGTGTGTTTTTGCTCCAGCTAGTTTTTACATTTACATGGTTCATGTACAATTAATGTACATTTAAATTAGCTTTGTTCAATGAATACAGGTGTGATTCAAATATCATTCCTGTCAGGTACTTGGGTCAAATAGACATAAGCATACTAAATCATGCTGTGAATTGAAATACAAGTATAGGATGTATATTGTTTAATAAATATATTTTCCAGTTAACCCAGTAAGCTGCATTGTGCCCCAATGCACCCTACTTTACTAGTTTATTTCACTTCATCTAATGCCAGATGATTTTACTTATCGATAATCGAGGGAGAGTGCTGCTGCTCATTGAGCTCTGATTGAGTTCACTGAGTGGCAGCACTTTTCCCCTTGACGAGTGAAATTGTCTGGCGTTAGACGGAGTAAAATAATCTTGCATTCAATCAAGCAGCTACTTTTTCAAAAGCTCAACCAGGCTAAAGATTCTTTAATTTGAAAACCAAAGTGATAGTGAACTAGTTAGTTGAAACAAACAGAATTGTTTGATTTATTTACTTTCCACAACATTGACAATTAAAATTTAATTTGATACTTTTCCAGTATATTGACATTATATAGGTTCAGATTTGACTACCATTACTGTCGTTCCAATTGAAGTGTTCCTCAAATATTGATTCAATACATTACCTCGGGCTGACCAATTCATTTCATCAAGTTCCTCGAAATATTCATACACTTCCTAGTATAATTGTAAACTTCCTGTTGAATAGTTTGAATGCACCAATCACCTTTGTTGTTTGTGCAACTAACCAATCATAAATAGAAAGGAACAGGGGCGGCGGAACAGGGGGCTAAATCCCCCCAGGAAAATTGAATTTTTGGAAAAAATTTTGATAATTAGGGAAAAATTTAGGTTATTTTTTAAAAATTTAGGTATAAGGGGACAAATTTGCAATATTTTGTTTAAAAAAAGTTATTTCCGAAAAAAATTTTTGACATTGGAATTGGCTCTTTCACAGGAAGTGTATGAATATCTCGAGGAACTTGATGAAATGAATTGGTCAGCCCGAGGTAATGTATTGAATCAATATTTGAGGAACACTTCAATTGGAACGACAGTAAGGGACCATCAACCAATCAAATGCATTTGATATATTCGATCAACCATTATAATGAAAGTGTGAGTTTATTCCTAAACTAATTATAAATCAACTTCCATGCAATGCTTTATGCAATCATCTAGTTATGCACCAGTCAATGTAAATCCCTGCCCCCAACCAGGGAGGGCGGAAGGTTTATCGGGGAAAGTGGTCAGTTTTGATTATAAATTTGGCCCCGATGATGGGAGACTTGGACAGTGGTTAACATATATATCCTGTGTTGCTGTTTTAGTTTTCTTGACAAGAAAAGTTTAAATACAATAACATAAATGAATTTGATTTTCTATTGCTGATCTATGATTATACAAAACTATTTTCCTGGGGTTGACAGACATGCAGGGGACATTGATGTCCCTGGGGGTGGGGCCAATTTCGCTCTTTTACTACCCCTCCAAGTCAAAATCCCTGCCCTTCCCCAGTTCGGGGGTTTACGTTGACTGGTGCATTAATTAAAGAAGTGTCAGTGCCACATATGTAGTAAAAGCCAACTTGTCAGTAAAGGCCACGGAGCAAGATTGTATTTCAAAGACTGTCAGTGACAAAAACAATTGATAGTCCTGAAATAGAGTATGCCAACAGTTAGTATACTGCAAATAACTATTCTATCAACAAGATAAAAATAATGTGTGTGTTTTACAAGTGTTTTTTTATATATCAATCCAATGGCATGTAACCTAAAATTCAGCAGTGTCTGTGTAATGAAATACACCCTTACTTCTCAAATATGGTCAAATTAACTATACTACATTGTGTATAATAATATATGGACTGGTTCAAAAATATATTGAATTTATATTAGTGAACTGGTGAACTATTGATGTAGAGATTATGCCAAGTATAGAATGGCACAAGGATTTTCATGTTATCAGCATGATTAAATTATTTTATTTTTATTTATTTTTTAAAGTTTTCGCCCATACATACAGAAAAAATATATATATATGTATATATACGATATAGAATTACAGAAATAGGGCTAGAGGTCTACTAGAAACCAAACAAAGGCTTTTGATTAAGACCCCTAGGTTAAAAGTATTAAATCGTAAGATTGTGCAAATAATCTGTGTAAATCTCTTAGAGATATCCTCAGTAGCTACATTTTAAGGTAAAATGACTATGGTAAAGCTATTCAAGGCAAAAAAGCAATGGATCTGTCAACCTCGTTGTCAACAGTAAATTTAGCTACGTTTATGATCCATTTATTGCCGTATTTCAGCTGAGAATTCATTTAAGACAATGCAGTACGATAGACTTACCTTTGAATTTATGATATATTCTTTTAAAATGGTCACCAAAGCTCTAAAACTCGATTGGTATCGTTTTAACTTCCTCACTCCTTAATGTTTACATGTAAATTTGTCAAATTACACTTGTTTAGGGCACTGGAAACGAGACACGGCCAAGATGCGCGAGGCGACATGCGCGGGGACATCAACATCAAAGATTCCGACATCGAGTGAGACTTCTGGTCTTATTATTTATTTTGTGGTAATGTGTTGAATCAATATTTGAGCAACACTTCAATTGGAACGACAGTAAATTTGTCAGGTGACCTGTACTTCGAAATGGCAACATATGTACACGTAATAAAAACGGTGTTTTTAAGTTTGTTTGTCGCTTGAGAAACGAATGAAAATTTAAAAATTTGAATACAGTACAATCATACCCAAGTGGAAAAGTATATTTATGATACGTAATATATAAAAGATTCTCCTGTTATACATACAAACTGTCAAATATCTTCATTATTGACTAGAAATTTTACCCTATCATGTTTCGCTCGCTACTCTGGTTTAAATAAATGATTACAAAGCCCAGTCGAATTGTAATCAAGACCCAACGTTTCGACACTCTAGTCTAGTGTCTTCATCAGGGGTGATCTAAAACTGCGATCGTGGGTTCTTAAATACCCAAGGGATGACGTCACCTGCCAAGAAGATGCATATATTCCTCCATTATTTAAACCAGAGTAGCGAGCGAAACATGATTGATATACCTGGTTGCAGTGAACGAACAAACTTTATATTTTACCCTATATTTACAATAAAGCCCGATTTCTATGTGGTTGTATAAATAGAGTCACGATCTTTCTCAACGGCCAGTTGGCCCAGTTTATAATAGTTTATACTTGTAAACCACATATAAATCATAAGTATTCTCTAGTTCTAATCACTCCGCGTATTTCCAGTTCTAAAAAATGACTAAAATGTTGTATTTCGGCTGATGAGAAAGATCGTGACTCAATCTTTACGACCGTTACGACCATATGGATACCAGGCTTAGGACAAATATATGATTTTTTATGAAAATTTTGAAACTATTAGTCATCTAATAATTCTTATCTGGGGCTTCGGTGGTCAAGTGGTTAGCGCACTTTCACCTCTAAGGCCGCGGGTTCAAGCCTCAGTGAGAACTTCTCAATGCGACTCGAACCCAGTCCTCATGTGAAAAGAGTAAAAGTCAACGCTCTGCCGAAAGCCGCGGGCCTTCCCCGGGTGCTCCGGTTTCCTCCCACAGGGAAAGTTGACAGGGTGGGTTAGGTAAAAGGGCCCACAGTAGTTGGCTTATGCTGTTGTGGTGACCCTGCCCTAGTTGGCAAAGCTAAATAAAATAAAATAATTATGTAAAATTTTCCCCTTGTTTCATTTTAGAAATTTTACCCTACATTAAACAGTAAAACAATTAAAGCATAAAATATAACATAGTTTCTCATATAACAGCACACAAGCCTGCCACAATTCTTGGGTAAGTTTGCAATTTCCTTGTCGACCTCCTTAAATTTTTCCCACACTTTTGCAAATCCTTTGTTCGTTGAATCCTCGAAACCGCCCAAACTTGTCTGCATTTTGTCAACGTTTGTATTCAAATCTGAAACTTGGTTTTGCACGCTTAGGAATTTAGTATTGAGCTCACTTTCGACACTGTTGATCTTATTTTCCAGCAAAGATTTTGTTTGTGCGATTAGATCTTTAAGGCTTTCATCAATTTGGTCGATTTTTGTTGCAAGTCTTTGTATCCTTTCGTACGAGTCGTTGTAGCAAGTTTTCACTTCTTCTTTAAGCGAGTTGAGATCGTTGTCACTTTGGCTTAGTCGCGTGTCTTCCCTAAACGTGAGTTTTAATATAAGAAGGGTTTTTTTACATGGAAATTTCCGAATTTGCATACCATGCATCGATGCATGAACATACTGGATTTTGGCACATATTTGAGCGTGCTTATGAGCTATTTTGGTATATTATCGGCATGTGTTCATATAGAAACAGAAATCAAGTAATATGCTCATGAGCATTCTTATGAAGATACTGGATTTTGGCATACAGCTATATTTCTATTAAGGTTGTCCCCCGAGCAAAGCGGAAAAGTCGAATACGAGCGCGAAAGGCTGCTGGGAATCCATAATAAGTGAATGAATTTATTAGCGATTCCCAGCAGCCTTTCGCTCTCGTATTCGACTTTTCCGCTTTGCTCGGGGGACAACCTTAATTGAACAAGACGCTCAACGGAGCGTTAACTCGCTGGGGCTATACAAATTTGCGCATTACTGTACATGATCACACAGTGATACATACAGTACACAGCTATTTCAATTACTAGTAAGATTTAAGGTTTTCCCCGAGCTAAGCGGAAAAGTCGAAAACGAGCGCAAAAGGCTTAACACGCTAAAATGCGGTAGGCTCTACCCCTACAAGTAAATTTATATTAAATCTGTCCGTGGTTGGAACAATCTGAATCATACTGAACTAAATTAACGTATCCTTCAAGACTGTCAGCCATCCCCCAATGCACCTACTGCAATGGGTAATCTCGCAGTGCTCGGAAGACACACTGTGATTGGCTGTTAGGTGAAAGGGTTTTCCCACACGATTTTCGTTTCCAATTGCAATCCTGTCAAAATAGCCCTGACGGTTCATGTGGGTGCAGTGGTTGCATTGGGTGCAATGGGTGCAGTGGGCGCAATGGGTGCATTGTTTGCAGTGGTCGCAATGGGTGCAATGTTTGCAGTGGTTGCAATGGTTGCAGTGGGTGCAATGGTTGCAGTGGGTGCAATGGTTGCAGTGGTTGCAGTGGGTGCAATGGTTACAGTGGTTGCAGTCTGTTAGCCGCCAGTTGGTCCGTACGCTAGGATTAAACTGCGCTTTAATTTTAAAACGTTCAAAATAAAATATTTTTGGGCTCAAAATACTATCAAAATGAAGAGAGAAGTGAGACGAATCCACTGGTACCAAAGTTACCAAGAATCAAACGTCCTGCATTTTTTATAATTAATAGTTTAATAATTTTGAGCGATTTGTCAACAATTCAATTTCGCTAGATTTTCAAAGACAAAGGCCATAAATCGCTTGTTTAGTAATACATTTGACATCAGTACAATTTCTAACGCTGAATGGAACTGTGGTATTATTATCCTTATTGCGCCATTAGGCATTACAAATATTCGCTTGATTTTCAAAGGCCATAAATCGCTAGAATACTGCTGTTTAGTACATTTGACATCAGTGAGTACAATTTCTTACGCTGAATCGAATGGTGGTATTTTTATCCTTATTGCGCCATTAGGCATTTACAAATACAAGGACAAACGTGGTGCGAGTGATTAACAATAATACGTACTGCGAGCGATTTTTCAACAATACAATTTCACTTGATTTTCAAAGGCCATAAATCGCTAGAATACTGGTGTTTAGTAATATCTTGACATCCGTAAGTATACACTTGACATCCGTAAGTACAATTTCTTATGCTGAATCGAACGGTGTCGCTTTCTTCTCAAAATATAAAGCAGCACAGCCAAACGTATAAACTCTGCGGTATAAACTTGCGATTTGCGAAGGTTGCTGTTTCCATGTCGAAATTCCTTGTAAAATTGTTCAATTTTCCCGAATTTTCCTCAAAATGCAGGGTTATTTATGGATAATTTGGGTAAAAATGGCTGGAGCCTTATGGATAATTGGGGGAAAATTAGGCAGCTCATTAATATTCTATTTTGTGGCTATCGACGATCCACTATCCAAGAAAAATGCAAGCCGAAACCTATACTCGCCCGGGGCACAGAGTGCCCCAGCGAGTAAATAGCTATATATATATGAGGGTACTCGTGAACATATTGGATTTTGGTACATATTTGAGCGTGCTTATGAGCATACCTCGTTTTGGCATCTCATGAGCATGCTCATATAGAGGGTCCTGAAGGGGTAAAATGAGAACTGGGATTTGCTTATTTTTTTTGGGGGGGGGGGGAAATGGGATTTCATGCACTGGGACTGGAATTCATCAGCAAAAAACAATAGAAAATGGGAATGGGATTAAGATTTGAGCAGGACAGCCACTGAGATGATGGGATTTGTGCTCTGCGACAATGGGATTTAGTCAAAATTTGGGCTGGGAAATGGAAATACAACCCCCCTTCAGGACCCTCCATATACCTGTATATGTACCAAAATCCAGTATGCTAACGAGCACCATCGTATATGTACCAAAATCCAGTATCCTCGTAAGAATTGTCATGAGCTTATTACTGGATTTCGGTGCCGCTTCTAAGTATTTGGAAAATTAAAACTAGGATCAAAGTTATCGGTCAGTGAAAATTGAAAAATCGCTTCGCGTTGTCGAATCGCGTCCGGTATGTCCGGACCTTAAAACTATCGCATACATCCTGCTTACAATTTGAATTGTATACTGTGTAAATCAAGCACACGACTCGCTACGAAATCGTAGGGGAGTTCTGTGATTGTAACTCCGAAAATAAACATTTTAATATTCTAGCTTTCCACCAACATTCAGTCATCATCAGGAATATCCGGGGACGCCGGAACTGGGGGGCAGGAGGGGCAGCTGCCCACGTTGCCCGTTACCAGGAGGGGCAAGGGGGGAAAGGTGCCCTTTCAATTTAAAGAATTGCCTTGGCGAAATAGCGAATTGTCAGAATTGTTAGTGCACGAATTTGCTTCAGGAAATGCAGTCATCGAGCTTCAAGAATAACACAATCGCCTGGCGGAGAACCCCCTCACACCCCTATCATTCGATAAATAGAAAACATGATTAGGCGACGTTCAACTCCCGATGTTTTGCAAACATCTCTTAGTATATATCAATTCAAAAGTGCCCTTTCACGAAAATCTGCCCCCCTTGCCTTCACATCGTCCCGGCGTCCCTGGGAATATCATTCAGACAAGCTAGAATATTAAAAGGCTTAAAATTTTTATTTTCGGAGTTACCGTTGTTTTATATTTTATCAGTAAAATACTCGGTGGTTCCCGTTATTTCTATGATTGATTTACACACTAGTATGCAACTCAAGTTGTAAGCCGGTTCTATATGCGACAATTTTAGGCAAAAGTTGTTTGCAATTATTAAACACTGCATAAACTTACCTTTTAGCAAGAACAATAGCGTATAAAGATAACGCCAAAGCAGTCAGTGAAGCGAGACAGAATAAATATCTGTTCATTTCTTGACACATATTTCGGCCGAAACTACCACAATCATATTTGCTTGTTTCTTTTTGGAGAAGCCCGGATCGTTCGTTTACCATTTTGTGATGGGATCTTTACAACCCGTTATAAATTGCTACAGAATGAATGTTTTGCTTTGGAAAGTGAAAGTATATTAATTGCGTTACCAGGAAAAAGCCGATATCAGTACCGAGAAAACAGCATGAATATAATAGTGGTTTTGAATTTCATTAAATGAGCCCTTGTAAGGTAAATTATATCGAATTTCAACAAGTGGCCACTTACACTGAAATGACAGAGTTCCATTTCAAAACAATACATTTTTTATTTAAAAAAACTAAAAATCGCGACCGTTTGTTATGTGAATACTGAAGGCCAGACACACCGGACGCGATTCGACAACGCGACGTGATTTTTTAGTTTTTGAAAGTTAATAAAACAGCCAATGAGAGCAAATTTTGAAAATATGTAGACCAAATAACTCGAAATGTTATAGCACTTGTAAATATTTGGAAAATTTAAACTAGGATCAAAGTTATCGGTCAGTGAAAATCGAAAAATTGCGTCGCGTTGTCGAATCGCGTCCGGTTGTCGAATCGCGTCCGGGTGTGTCTGGACCTTAAGGCTGAAAAAACGAGCAAACTTTTTGACAATTAAGCTGTGGGAAATGTTATGTATGAAATCAATCATGCATTTAATAAATGCATAAGCGTGAACGGCTAATACACAGGTAAAAACGCACAAGTTGTTACAAGTCTGCAAACAAGTTGTTACGAATCTGTTCACAAGCTGTCGACAAGTTGTGTTTGCACTGCTTGTTCCCAGTTGTTGTAACAAGTTTGGAACAAGCTGTCAACAACTTGTAACAAGCTTGATGGCATTATCAGACTACAGGGTTGTTCTAACAAGTCAGATACAGTCATGATATAACAAGAATGTTACAAGGTTGTTCTTAACAAGTCTGATACAGTCTTGATAAACAAGAATGTTACAAGGCCGACGACACAAGGTTGTAACAATATTGCTATATCATGACTGTATCAGACTTGTTGGAACAACCTTGCAACAAGTCTGATAATATCAACAAGGTTGTTTCAAGTTGTTAACAGCTTGTTCCAAAGTTGTTGACAACTTGGGACAAGCATGCAGTGCGAACACAACTTGTCGACGGCTTGTTGGCAGACTTATCCAAATTTGCACAATATGAATTCAAATTTGCGTTTTAAGCTTGAATATATTTAAGAAAATATTCAAATTTTACACCACAGAAATTACTGTAAAATCTACAGCATCACAAAGATTAACAAAGTTTCCCAAAAAGTCAATCGAACTTGCTTGGCTTCAGCCATGTTTCTGGGCAATTTCCGATTCTACTTCGTCGAATTTTTCCCAAATCTGTTTGAATTTATAGTTCGTCAATTCCTGAAACTTTCCAAAATTCGTTTGGAGTTCCTTCGCATTCGTTTTCAAATTTGAGACTTGACTTTGCACGACTGCTAAACGTTTATTTAACGATGCTTCGACGTGGGTAATGTTATTTTCCAGCGAGGATTTAATTTCGGTCATTAGTTGAGTCAAGTTTGTTTTCACAGCTTCGATTTTGCCTGAAAGCTGACGAATCTTGCGTAGAAATATCGGGTATGTTCCGTTCGTTAAACATGGCGTTAATTTCTGTCTTAGAGAACGTATTTCATCCTTATTCTGAGGTAACGTCGCGTCGTCTTTTCTGAGTAGCAGCACAGCGACTATAGACAATACCAGAGCCGAAATTACAGCTATGCTGTATGCGTATTTGATGAATATTTTACCAGCGTTAGTGATGCTCCCTGTTAAATCAAAATCGTTTTCATTTGCGGTATTATTCTGTATGCCCCCTTCGTGTTGTACAGTCATTCTAAGTTGGTTTCCACAAAAATTGGGTCGAAAAATAGGAATGTTTTACGACCGAAAGTGTTGCAATCAGTGCTCTCACTTCCCGCTACGGATTTTACTACATCCCGGGCCAGGCGGTGTGCGCACTGCGACCGCAATGCATTATTTTGGATATTTTCTTAAAGATGGCGGATTTCTAGCACGATTAAAGGTATGTTGGCGCTCTATTTTCTGCCACGTTTTAAAGTTTAAACTTTTTGTTTTTTATTAAAAAGGAAGTTACATGTAATATTGTTATGCCGTGTTACTTTTCAAATCGATAATTTTTGGAATTCGATAAAAAATATCATTTGATTGTAAACTCGTGTATTTTTCCCAAATACACTGGTCCATTTACTTTTACATGTCACAGCTTAACCGTTCACACATCACATTTAAAATTGCAATTGGCATAATCTATGACCATTATTTGTGACCATATTTAATAGCGCCCCTTAGCGCCCCTCAATATTGTATATTTTTTGGTCTTTTATCTCATGATATTTCCTTTGCTAATTTCAGGTCTTCTTGTCCAGAGTTCATGTTCTCCCGCTATTTTGGGGAAGCGTTCGTGCATCCCAGAGTCCCATACGCCAGGCAAACAAAAAACAAAGCGGCAACGAAATAATAAACGCAAAAGAGAAGCAAAAAAAAATTTCAAATGGAAAAAATAATTGTGTCAAAATGAGCAAGACACAATACACAATACACAATGGCAGACTGTTGGACAACCGAAGAACAGACTTAATGGGACTGTTTCATATTTGACAGGATCAATGACTGTCTGGTGGTGAAAAACCATTTGTGCTTGTTGGAACCGTTTCTTGTAGTCAGTTGGAGCAAATGGCAATGACTGGAACACGTTTAAATAATTTTTGTTCTCACAAGCAATTTTCTTAGCCTTATTTATGCCAATACCTCGGATATTTTCTATGTAGTCACAACCAGCTGCAATACACATATCAGTAAACTTTTCCTTGGTTAATTTTAGATGTGTTAAAATTTTTGCCATTTCCACCAAGTTACCCATACCATTTGTTTGTAGCTTAAATAGCACCTGAAATATATGACATGTATACTGTAGTCCACATTGCTGCAAAATGCCTTACCTACGGATGTAATAATACAGATAGTGTCTCGCACAAATAGTGTACAGCATTATACCTGGGCATTCACCAAGTCAATGTTGAAAATAATAGTTCTGTGTAAATTTTACCCCACCCAGGCCAGCCGATATTTAGAAGCAGGACACCCATGTCAGCAGTTTCACACAGTGTATTAATTATGTTATGGTATGAACTACTTTGCATATGTATTTGAACTGCCAGGCTGACCTGGTTCCCAATCTGATAAAACTTTCTCCCTATAAACACAAACTGGGCTGGTGTGGATGGAAGTTCTATGAATGCTGCTGTGAGTTATGTAGAAAAACTGTTAAAACACTGTAAACCCACTACACTTGTGCTGTTTATAAAGCATATACAATCACAACAAATTTGTTATTCATATATTTTATAACACTTCATTGAACAATGTTTTACTAAGTCTATACCTGCATACATGACCACCATCATCGAAATGCAAACAAAAACATCCCATTTTATACAACAATTATTATACAACAACATGCTAGAATCCATGTATTAGCATTAACATCACACTGATATAGAGCATTTGCACATGACGTCACAGCCGCCATGTTGGTGTTCCAATTCAAAATAATTTTAATTAGACTCTTGTCTGGAACACCAACATGGCCGCCATGGCTTTTGTTGAGTTGGTCCCTGGGGAATGAGTGCAAATGCTCTATACAAGCAGGTCCTAATCTTAACACACTGCAAAACCACAGCCTCAAATCAAAGTGCTTGGGGACAAGGCTGGCAAAACCAGCATATCCATTATTCACAATAAATGCAATTTCTGGATCTGCTTCATATGGTGCCATTATGTACTGAATATCTTTTTCACAGCAAAGCTGAAAGGTGGATAATAACAAATTGTTATTTACTGCACACAACTACTTTCCAATTTACTCTATAATTTTTTATGCATTTGTACATAAAAAGGGTGTCGTTGAAAAATGGGAATTTGAATTTTGCAAAATAAATTGATCAAATGTCTGATTAGCAATGTATTGGCATGGATTATAAATTGTTGTGACATTCCTGTGCACCAATAAAATGTAAATTCTGGGGAGGGGTATGGGCAAGGTGTGAGGATTTGGATTTTTTTTTAATTTTGGGTAAATTCTAGTGAGTGGAAGGCATACAAAGTTCTTGAAAACTAGATGTGAAAACTAGTATGTGGTTCAATTTAAACCACATCATTTTTCTTACTCTCCATATATTGTTATGCAAAGCGTTTTCCTGCCAGCTGCAAATTGCCATTGCAATGACCTTTTATTACTTAGATGCTATTTATATGACCTTGGATACTAGAGACACCCAATCTACACGAGACAACTTCACTGCATGTTTATATGAAAAAAATTTATAGCCCTGGCACTGTATCTCTTCCTACGAGAATGGCTCTAAGTATGAGATTGTGACTCCTGAAACATGCAGTTATTTGTTTGAAGGCCTGGGAATGAAAAGTTATCCCTGGAGGCCGAGACAAACTATTTACATGGACAAAAGTTGTCCCTCCTACAAGGGTAACCCTGTTTTGTAAACAGGGTGTCCCTACTGCCAGGGTGACCCTACCAGCCGAGACGAAAACTTTCCATATAAACACTTGCGTTTAAATGTTATATAATGAATATAATTTTGCCTCTCCCAACCCGAGATCATATAAACAGCACCTCATCTCTTTTCAATGTTACCAAAAATTGAATTGGCATGGCATATATGATTTTCATCCCATAGTTTTTAGGTAAGATTGTGTAGTCAAACTATAGAAATTGTGACCTATGATGGCATTAGAAGTGCTAAAATGATGGGCAAATTCTAAGCATAACTAAAATTACATGGAATTTTACAGATACTGTACTGAGCATATAACTGGCTTGTATATTGCATTAAATTAAACAAAATATAATGTTGCAGAAAAATTTCCGTGTCTATGCATACTTTTACCGTATGTCCACAACCCTGAAAAGTTTGCATAATAATTATAATAACAATACAGTCATAAGAACAATAAAGTAAATAGAATATACATAAGTTTAGCGATTGAAACACTGCACAAATTGATAAGTAAACATATAAATAAAAACATACTTGCGATCATCGCCAAATCTTTGAAACTCACAGCCAACGCTTTGTGCAGCCAGCAGGATGCATCGACTGCACAAACTTTTCCAGAAGTTCTTTGACATGTACTGCCACTTTCTGCCACTGTTGATTCTTTCAAGAAGGGCAAAAGACACTTTTAATATACCCATCGCTCGGCCGTGCACAGTGTTTTCACCTCGAACGTCAGAACGCAAATGAGTGAATTTTTTATTTTACTCATGATGCATTGCGGTCGCAGTGCGCACACCGCCTGATCCCGGGCGTTCTTTGTCAGTGCCCGCGATCACAATTAGAATTACCAGCGGTTGAGTTCGCAACTCAATATTCAAACATTTTCAACCAGATAAAAAAAGATTAAAACTTTTTTAAAGCACTTTAGATTTTATACCGATCCCAAACACTAACCGGCCTAACTTTTAAGAGTTAAAAAAGGAAGGAAGAAAAAAATTACAAAAAATTGAGAAAAAGAGCTAAATCAGATAATAAATGTTCGGCATCGATCCCGACCCCGACTGCGTTTCACTTTCGGTACGCAGCGCCTTTACCGCTTGAGCTAACGACAAACTTGGTGAAGATTACCGCAAACAAAAGTTTTTATATTGCTACAAAATACGAAATAACTCCCGTCTGTCCAGTCACTTGGTTATTTTTTATTTGAGCTGCTATAAATGTTACTAGCTCATATAAGATCTGTGAAATTAGTGCTAAAACATAAACAGTTTTGTCAAAAAATTAAAAGGCAATATGTCTGGATCAAATAAACTGACTAGAAGCAAACTGATATCTTGAAATATAGATTAACATGCTGACAAACTGTTACAGTTTAATCAAGTTATAAATTCACATCGAGTATTATATAATTTATATTTGGCCGTTAAGATGTTTTCTTTCAAACATTGTGATTTCAGGAAACACTCGATGTTATCATCATATACCGCTGATAATACTAATTGTGATCGCGGGCACTGACAAAGAACGCCCGGGATGTAGTAAAATCCTCCAGCTACAGTCATTTCCTTAAATTTACACTGAAATTTCCTTAGAATTGAAAAAATGTCCTTAAAACCGGAAGTGGCAATAAAATTGGCGGGAAATCACAAAATATTGTTGTTTTCGATTTAGAAGTTTTTAGAAATATAAAGAGAATTTTTGTCGACTTCCCCCCCCCCCCAAAAAAATATTTTCCGGACGTACACAAATTTTCCGGAACATTCAAAAATTTTCCGCACATCACAAATTTTCAACATTTTTTTACATTTTTCCAAAATTTTTACATTTTTACAAAATAAAGTGTTGTTTGGATGTAATCTTTTACGAATGTAAGTGATTATGTAAAATATTATGAATGTCAAAGAATTTCCTTAAAATTTCCTTAAAAAATTCGTTTCCTTAAAAATTTCCTTAAACTGGTTCAAATTTCCTCAGTTTAAGGAAATTTCCTTAAAAGTGAGAACGCTGGCACAAAATAACGCTGGTTGCAATGTTTTACATTTGAAATTCTGGGAAACCCCATTGATTTACTAGGAAATGTGCATAATTACCGTCTCTTGCATCTACTAATGAACACTACTTATATTTATAATTTTATTTTTTAATAATTAAAATTCTCCTATACAGTAACAATTAACACGGTAGCCCACCTATTCAGTGTTAATGTTCTACTATCTACAATTATTTCAATTCATTTTAATATTCTACTGAATACAATTATTTCAAGTCGCTCTTTTTAGGAAGGCTCCCTACAGTTTCCAATATATGTCGGTGTTTGAACCTAAAAGCTTTTTGAATCTAAAAAACTAATTTTTTGCACAACCCATTGTTTCCTCTTATGTAAAAGAGTAATTTTAACCCGCAATCGCTACTCTTCACGTTACCATGACAACATGACGTCACCATCTATATGGCCTATATCAACCAAAAAAGCCGTCTTAGCGGACAAATAAGCACGGTGACCTACCTTTTTTATTGCAGAAAATACATTGTTATGAAGTTTTGAATCTTTTGAATCAGGTAAAGAAGATACCAGAATTAGACTTCAATATTTAAATTGTTTTGCTCAATGTGAAACATACTGAACCAAATAAAAGCGAGAACACTTGCAAAGATGAGTAACTACAAAGAATGACTGAAATGCAACTAGCAGAAATGAGATGATTTATTATTCGGAAAAAAGATGAAGACGATGAAACTCAAGAGAACTCAACATTCACTGAGATCAATGGGTCAACCAATAAAAAACACTAAAAACACTGCTCTCAAGACTATGAGAACAATCACCGAACACTTTTTAATCACAATTTTGATCATTACAAATTGATTATTTTTTTAAAATTAATGTTGGTTATTACATCATGCTGCAAGCATTCACCCCTCCAAGTGGAGTGTTCAGTTCTATACCATCAGCACCAATTTTACCACCAAATCCCGCAAGATGAACATCCAGGTTTCCATTACGGATGCCAGCTCCAGTGTTCAAATTGGGTTCAATATGAGCACCTACCACATTTCCATATGCTGCTTCTAGTTTAAAACCTGAAGCATCTGCCCAAGCTCCGAAACCTGGCCCAGCAACAGCTTGCGCCTGCGCATGTATCGATCTGCCAGACAGACTGACAACTCCAGCACTTTTCCGGACCTCAGAAGTGGTGTATCTGGCAATAGCATTTCCATCTTCTGCTCTGGCAAAGCTTTTCAATCCCTTTCTTTCCTCCAAGTGCAGGTTTGCATGTGCGGCATTGAATCGATGGGACACATTAAAGTTCCCTTTAGTTAACCAATCCATAAATTCATAGGCAAACTTTTGACAATTTGCCAAAAAGGGCTGGTAATCTGGGTTTCTGCTGATCCACTCCTCTATCCAAGCATCGATTTCGCTATCAGTGGCATCTGTCTCTCCGACCAGCTCACCACCAAGTGCCCCAGCTGAACTAGCGGCAGCAAATCCATGACTAGTTCCAACAGAATTTCTCTTGTTTTCCCCCTTACCTTCAATCTCATACCAGGTATTGCCAACACTCACTGCCCAGTGGTAGGCCAGAGGAGTACCAAGCATGGCTTTCCTACCTAACTTTACCGCTCTCATTATGGCACAAAGAATTCTGAGCTCAAACCCGTACAAACCTGAAAGGATACATATCATATTTATAATCATTATTTGACTGATAGTTATTAATCATTATTTGACTGATAGTTATTAATACGAACTCAAGCAAAATACGTGCGCATGTTAATTTATGCCTCTCGAGCTCAGATGCACCTATCATTGACAGTGAATCATGTTTCACTTTGTACAACTTATTTGCGCATTCCCGTTTACAAGAATTAACCACTTATTTCAAAAATTTGCCAAAGGGAGAGGGGAGGATGGGTCATAATGCTTGATCATCTAATCAAGAGGAATATAAATGCTGCCCATCAGCTGACGTGTTTCTTTCTCATATGACCATATTTCAATAATTTTAGAAATTATTAGTATTTATTTTTAAAGAATTTACACGCACGCACGCACACACACACAAAATGTAAATTAGACGGCTAAATTACAGAATACCCGTCCACTAGTAATATCATATCATGTAGCTACTATTTCACTGAATACGCGGCCAGAACGTGTTAATATATAATTTTCTTAATTAATTGCTGCCGAGCCTCAGCGAGGCAGCACACTATTCTCGACGGTGCCAGTCTCCTTACCGCGCGCCGAGTTTAATAGACTAGCTTGAATCTCGATTTTTTGTGTTTATATGTCAGCAATTCAGGGGCGGGGGTACGAAAATTAATTATGCTTGCTGGACGCACAGGAAGCAGTGACTTACATTGACGCAAATGCCCCACCCGTAGGTTACAAAATATATGAGGCTTTCTGATCCAAAAAATCGAATGCAAGCTCTATCTCGTATCAATATATCTGTATTTCAGTAAAATCGATTCTGCAGCCATTTCGTTTCAAAACGTTGTTAATTAAAATATTGAAGTCTCAAAACTTGATATAACAATGTCAAACTGCGGAAATAAGTCAATGTGTCAACAGTATGGACAAGAAAAAAATCTAAAGTGTGTATGTCCGCCATGATTAATTCGCAATACGCACGCACGTGTAAACGTGCGTACTAAAATGCGGCTAAATGGCGAAACAAGCGACAAATATTCGACTTTTTAGCCTCGAGCAAATCCCCCCCCCCCGGGGCTAACCTGCAGAAAGCAAATGCCTGACCCTGGGAACAAGTACAGTTGAGAATGCTCGACAAACGCCCGGGGCGGGGGGGGATGGGCATCCATGGAATTGATTGAGACATAACTACTATATATTACATAAATGTTTTGATGATCATGGATATATGGTGTATTGAGAGTCCATATTAATTAAAGTGATTTTACATATCTGTTTCACAATCGAGGCAGCAATTTCCTTGCGACAGTAACTCCTATAGTAGTTAAAAAATAGATTGATAGATCAAATTCTCATGTTATAGGCGCAGTCAATTTTATCATTATAGTTAAACGATCAAAAATGGTCAGCGGATATTCTAATAAATTTAAATCATGTAGCCACATGATTGCGTACCCACTAAAGTATACCATAGCATGACAATTTGATCTATTAATGCTAAACTACCTATATGCCTCGTTCGAATTCTCAAAATAACTCGCCGACTGCGTATCACGTATCCACTAAAATATACAGCTACCTATATATAATATAGCATGACAATTTGATCTATTAATGCTAAACTAACTGTATGCCTCGTTCTTAAAAATAACTAACTCACTGCGTATCCACGTATCCACTAAAATATACAGCTACCTATATACTGTAGCATGAGAAATATTAATACATCGTATGAAAGGCCTAGCCACGGGAAAAAACATCTGTGAGATTTTGCTTTCGGGGGCCGACAAGGCTTTGGTTTGCGCGGAGCGGAAAAATTTTGAAAATATGGAGTCTCTAGATCGTTGGAAATGGCATTTTCAAAGTCTTCCGATACCTTATACACACAAGTTTTGGTAGCTTTTATTTAGATATACAAAACCATATTGTTGAATACCCACGAGTACGAGGTTGCATGTAGCGATGTCTTGATTATTTTTCAGTTTGGCTTAAATAGCGTGAATTTTTCACAAGAAAAATGTAATCAATTGACGCAAATGAAGTCACTCTTAATAGTTAAAATGTACAACAAAGCCAACATATTTAAGAACCAGTTGGGTTATTTTCGAAATCCGTGAGAATCCGTGAGATATTAACAAGCTGTGATTTACCGTGAGGTTTTAGTAAAATCCGTGATGCTCACAGTGGATCCGTGAGAGTTGGCAACTATGAATAGCTTAAAAAATTGCGGGGTATTCTGCATTCGCTCCAACTAGACAATTAGGTTGTTTAACAATAGGTATCAGACACTATACTATACTAAGTATAGTATAGTGTCTGATACTAGACGTCAATTCTTGCTTGATATACAATGGAACAACAATTTTAAGCGTGCCCACATGACCACATGCAGTATAAGTTTTCCGTTTGAAACCAAACTCACCAAGATTCCAAAGCGAAATACCAAGATGTTAAAATGTATTTCTACACTTCAGTAGAGGATAAAACATAGAAGAAACAATCAATCTTTGAATCACGTTTCAAAAGCGAGGCAAACGTCTTTGATTGTTTATACAGCTACTCTAGCTGTATCATATTAACAAAATCTTAGAATTCCTTGGTAACAAATTTGTTACACGTCAGAAATATACATAATTACCGTCTCTTGCATCTACCGATGAACACTATTAATATTTATAAAAAGAGGGCATATGACTCGAAAATTGACGGTGTTATTTTTTTTACTAAAGCGAAAGACCATTGAAAACTGTATAGAGTAACTTCTTTGATAGATTTTTGTTTTCTTGCTTCGTTTTGAAGATATTTCATTTTGTATGATATGCAAAGGACCAACTTCCTATACGTCACATATCAGCATAATGATTTAGCCCTAAAAGCTGTATATCTTTAATACGACCAGACACAATCAGTAGAAAACCTACATGGGTGTTGTTGTGGACAAATCTCATTTTAAAGTAAGTCATTATGCATATGTGACGTAGGAATTTGGCTTTGCATATCATACAAAATGAAATATCTCCAAAACGAAGCAAGAAAACAAAAATCTGTCAAAGAAGTTGCTCTACAGTTTTCAATGATCTTTCAAATTAGACTAAAAATGACACCGTCAATTTTCGAGTCTGCATATGAACCGTAGATATCTCAAATGAGATATCTATGATATGAACCTATGATATGAACACAAATTGAATTTTATAAAAAGATTGAGGAACGTTTTATCTGTTGTTTGAGTTTTGGTAACAAAAAATACAGTCAATAATACACAAAAATTTTATAATCTTCAGATAGCATTTTTAAAAACTCAAATGCTATTTCCTTTTCAACGAGTAATCATTATTCAAAAATTCCGCCATGCATCGTAAATTTCTCTCTTGCTAAAAACATCTTAATAGGAATTCAACTGCATAACGTGAATTTCCAAACCGAAATCTATATATATCACCTTTAATAAATTAATTGAATGTACCAATATTACAATAATCCCACTGATTGTTCTAAAATAAACCTTTTGTAGTTCCATTAGGGAGTGGTCATTATTTATGGGTGGCATCGAAGAGAAAAGGGTTGGGTAAACAAAATTTTGAGTGAGTAAAAGGTTGGGTAAATGAAAACAAAACAATTTATTGTAATTTCGAAAGCATGGCTCACTCAAATATTGAAGACTAAAAGGCAATGTCAACAGTCATATGTCAATACAATATGTAAATCAATCAATCAGAGTCACTATCTTGATCATTTTCCGATTTCTCAGGAGGCAAACGGTGTCTCCAAAGAAAGTACAGGTGCAGACAACATGAAACTTTAGACTGCAGAAAACTGCACAAGCAGTTATCAAACTCGTGTCACAGAAGTGGTAAAGGACAATGTGTGACAACTGAATGGTATCCTTTTGCAAAGTTTTGGCCAGGGGTGGGTATTTATTTCTCAATTGATATTTGAGGTTGGATAAAAGTTGGGTATTAATGGTTGGCTGAGCAAAATTTTTACCAAGAATATATCACCTTTAATAAATTGAATGTATCAATAATACAATATAAGTCATACTTGTCCCATTCTAAAATAAAACTTTTGTAGTTACGTAATACAACATGAATAAAATATTGCTGTCATTAGGGAGTCGCTGTAGGAGGAGTCAACTCTTTAATAAACTTTTCCAAGACAGCCAAAACTCTTTCATTGGTAGGATCCCTTTTCTCGTTGTAACAGAAATCGCTCAACACCATCTTGTATTTGATGTTCGGATTATGGATCACAAAACCCCCAGTTTTCTTGAAAAACCCTTCCAGATTACAGAGCCGCTTGTATAGCGTACATTTGTCATCGGCTGGTGTCATCTATGCTATAATCTTCTTAAGATCGCTCACAGTTTTCACTTTTGCTTCGGAGGCTGTTTGGTAATTCTTGATGTCCGAAATTATTTGGTCTTCAGTCTTGCTGAAAACTTTGTCGTTGAATTCTACCAGTTTCGCGTCATCCGAATCTATCCACACTTCCATATAACCGATACACGTGCTTTTGACTGGGTTGTGTTCCGCTGGGCATGGTATATCAGTTAATCGTACCTTGCCGTTGTATTCGACCACGTTTAGATTTGCATCCCGGATTGAGTCGTGAAAAGCAATGGTCGAGTTCACCAGTTCTTCACATCCTGAAAGATATGATAAAATTTATTGTTCATCATCTTCATTCATCTTTGGCAACGCGCGCTTAACTTTTTTGTGTGAAAACCGCTGGTTATCTGACGGAAATTTTCCTCATTGGTCAAGGAAATCTACCGCGAACTTTTGACACGAAAGTAATATGTGACGTGTTTATCTCAAACTTATTAATTATGGATGATTCTAGCTATATAGACTAAATTTTGATCTCGGCAAGAAGAACAAAATCCATCACCACAGCTAGAAAGAGCATGATAAAAAAAGTAAAATTGCAAAGTTTGGTTGCGAAATGTTGTAAAATGAGGAAAATAGAGCCCTGCGAAATTTGCAAAATTTTGTATTAATTTGTATTTACGCACGGGAATTTGCACCACTTCCGGCCTAGGCCTTTCCCGATTGCGCTGAGCACTTTTTGAGCACTTTTTTTTGTTTGGAGCACCATCTTGCATGTTGAGCAACGTTGAGCACTTTTTCGCACTTTGGGCAACATTTGAGCAATATTTCACATTTCGAGCGAATTTTGAGCAACAAAAAGTCAGCGATTATAGAATTCGATTCGTACCTCGATTAACTAAACATACAGTTCGGAGTAAGGTTTAAAAATTGACGGGTATTATACTATTATTTTATATATAATTTAGGTATAACTCCAAAAGAAAAGCCGTACAGCTGCATATGACATTACAGTTAAAAATAGGTACGCAGTGCGTACATGTTGCATGCCCTTTCCTCCACAGAGGCTTTTGCCTTTCCACCCCCGCTACTTCGCCCAGTGGCTCCGCCCGTGTTCCAAGATCCACCATGTAAAGTGTAGTGAAATCTATCTCATCATAATAAATCATAAGGGGCCATTCACAAAGGATGTCCGGCCAAATGATGGATTTTCAGACCCCCCCCTCCCCCCTTGTCCGGCATTGTCCGAATTAGTGACCCTTCCCCCGGACATCCGTCATGCCTCGCAAAAACTCACACAACCTTGTATATATCAAGAGTAAAAA